GCAAAAGCAAAGAGTCATTCATTTCAAACCTAGGTTTGGCTCCCCTGCCACACTCACCGATGCAACGGTAAGCTCCAGTGGCCGAGAGAGCGAGAACTCTGTGTGGAGAGAGGTTTTATAGGGGTTTGGGGTAAGGGGAGGAGAAAGGACTGTGGGCCCTGCTGATTGGCCAGGCGTGAGTACACAGGATGTGGTCATAGTGATGGCGTGCACTTCCCTTGACTATCTTCCGGGAAGAAGCTTGCTGAGCACATGGCCAAGTTAAGATGAAGGGCATAGCCCTTACCCTGGGGCAAGGTGGAGGGCGTACTCCTCGCCCTTTCATTCTAACAGGATCATAATTTCCCATATGACTAAGCAATTTCTTGTTATTATTAAGATAATTTTGAGGGGAATAATTATTAATTTTGGAACCAAAATGCAGAATTAAGTATTATGCTAGATCCACAAATCTTTTTATTTAAAAAAAAAAAAAACTTATTCAGGGTAGATGGAGGTGGGAGAGGTCAATGGGGGAGAAAGAGGACATATGTAATACTTTCAATAATAAAGATTTTTTAAAAAACTTATACACACATACACTCACTACAGCTTCTTCTTGCTCATGGAATTAAAATAAAACCGAACAAGTAAATAGGGTGAGGGCTAAGAACATGGAAGACTGAGTGAAGGGGTAAGAGGGAAGCACTTACTATAACATAATTTAAAACATGAATTACTTCAGCAGAAGTAATCTACTGATAACTAGGAAGTTAACGCCTTCAGTGTTTCTCCTTGTCATCATAGGCATGACTCAGCATTTGGAATGAAACTATGTTTACTGTCTTTCAAATTGAGGGTGTCAAATAACTTTGGTGCCACCTAAGTCTTTCCTCCTGTGCTTAAGAAAACTTCAGCACAGTCATGGGTTTTCAGCCTCACATGGGCACCCAAATCTAAAAGGTTTCTTCTTTACATTTGTTTCTGTCTTACCAAAGCTTTGCCCACAATTAATCTATCTTGCTTTTGTAGTGTTGTCAGGTGAATTTAGCTTATCTTCCATATTATAGTGTAACAAAACTAGCAAGAATTCCTTCCTTTCCGAAGGCTACCTGCTGCTAAGATATCTGAAACCCAAATGCTGGGGTGAACCTTCCTCAGCATGGGGGAACCTTCCACTGGTGATTCTATCAAGTACCTTTAACGACCATCTATTAGGGGCAAAAATAGAATATTGGGGACTAGCTATAGTTCTAAGAAATATTAATCATGCTCAATCTACTGTGATTGCCTTGTTCTGATTAAAGAAAGAACTTTCTAACCTGGCTGGGAGTTGTATGTCCCCAGGACCTGGGACTCAACCTTGGACTTGGCAGTCAACTTTCTACCTGGGAGTCAACCATTTTCATTCAAGAACTGCCTAATATCATGGAAAGATTAACAACCTTGTTGCCTAAACAATGGAGTCCTGCCCCAGCTCACAATGTCTACTTCCCCATGCCTATAATTCCTACTTCCCCATGTAAACTTTGTCCTACCCCATATAAGCAGCTGGCTTATGGGAGGTTACAGAGCAGATTTTTGTGGATGACCTGCTGCTCTCCCATACTGCTGGCATTATTGGAATAAACACTAATATATGATTCTACCCTGTCTCTGCTTAATTGGCTCAAGTAATGACAGGCAGCTTGGGCCCATTGATTGTCCAGTTACACATCCACCACATGCCAAGGGCCAGCTGTTTTAGCCCCTGCCCATTTCTAGAGTGTCAACATTAAGAACATCCAAACTTGGAAAGAATTTTTATAAAAATGGATTTGAACCAAACAGGGGATACACCTGGAAGCAAGATCTCAATAGACTGAGAAAATGCTTCTTGGAAAGGCATTTCACAGCTTCTTTATGCATTTGAAATTAAGGAGGGAACATAAGAAAGAAGACAGGTAGGTGGAAGAAAGCAAGGCGGGGTTGGATTACAGGACAAGATTATATGCTCTCTTCAGGGTGGTTTTACTTGAGGGGTCTGAAAAAGGCATTTCAAATGTGTTAACTAAAATGTACAGAAACAATGGACAGGGCTTTCTTAGACAAAGATAAACCTTTTACTAAAAAGGTATATGCCTGGGTGTGGCTACCCACCATGAATTTTTTTTTCATTTAATTTTTTTTTTAATTACAGTTGACATTAAGAATTTATAATCAGACCACTCAATGAGGTTATTTTCCATAGAACCCCTTTGGGGTCCACAAGAGAAAAACAAATTTTTCCCAAATATTCATTAGTCACCAAAACTCATTGTAAAATTTATATAATAAAAGGATTGAAAGGGGCCATTAATGTAATTTAAGCCCACATTTTTAAAAAATATATTTTATTGATTTTTTTACAGAGAGAAAGGGAGAGGGATAAAGAGTTAGAAACATTGATGAGAGAGAAACACCAATTCAGCTGCCTCCTGCACACTCCCTACTGGGGATGTGCCCACAACCAAGGTATATGCCCTTTTTTAAAAAAATATATATTTTATTGATTTTTTACAGAAAGGAAGGGAGAGAGATAGAGAGTTAGAAACATCCATGAGAGAGAAACATTGATCAGCTGCCTCCTGCACACTCCCTACTGAAGTTGTGCCCGCAACCAAGGTACATGCCCTTGACCAGAATCGAACCTGGGACCTTTCAGTCCACAGGCCGAAACTCTATCCACTGAGCAAAACCAGTTAAGGCTATGCCCACATTTTTTTGTTTTACAAGTGATGAAATTAAGGCAAGGAAGTTTGAAGTTATTGAATTAGCTAAACCTAAAACCAAGACTAAAATGAGAAACTACTTGATAGAGAGAACAGTTTGTAGACTTCAAATCTGTGGACGGAAGGGGCCACATGCTGACCTGACTAGCTCAGGGAAGGCCTGCGTAGCAGTCTTGCAAACTCAAAGACCAAAAGTAACCACAAAGGATGGTCTAAAATTAGACTTTAACTAAAAGCTGTTATGGTGGGTAGTCACCTCCTAGCCCAGTATCTTCACTGATAAGGTCAATCTTCACCTTAACTGAGCCTATCTGTCTTTTTGCATCTGTAATATCCTTGAAATGTCTGGGTAACTTGTAACTTCCCTTTTTCTGGACTGCAAGGGGCACAACCTAATGTGCCTGGGCACCAGGACAGATACCACAATTTCCGTCATTGTTATTGTTATCATGTTAATTGTTTACTGTTACTATCCTGCACCCACCTAAGTATGTGTCTGTCATTTTACTTCTTATCCAATCCCAGAGGTGCCCCCCACCCCGCTTTGCTTTCTCCCGCCTCTCTAATCTATCACCAATGGATTTCATGTAACCCACCTACATCCCCTCCTTTGATTGCAATGTATAAAAATAGATGAGAAACCGCCATCCTCTGGAGCATTATCCCAACCTGTAGAGATACTGCTTCCCAGCAATTATCCACAGTTTGGTTCGAATAAACTCACAAAAATTATTTACATGTTTGAATGTTTTTACGTTAACAAATCCATCCTTATCTAAGTTCTTTAACCTGGACCTGATTCTCTAGCCTCCCTAACCTCAGTTTCCTCATCAGTGAGGATGTTAATAGTGAACATTCACACAGTGTTTACTCTGACAAACATTAGTTTTAACAAGATATATACATACCTGTAATCTTTAATCCTCAGAGTAACTCTATGAGGTGTGTGTTTTTGTTTTTAGCCGGGGGGTTGTTTTATATTTACAAATGGGTAAATTGAGATTCAAAATTGTTTTGTTTTTCTTTTAAATATATTTTATTGATTTTTTACAGAGAGGAAGGGAGAGAGATAGAGAGTTAGAAACATCGATGAGAGAGAAACATCGATCAGCTGCCTCCTGCACATCTCCTACTGGGGATATGCCCGCAACCCAGGTACATGCCCTTGACCGGAATCGAACCTGGGACCCTTCAGTCCTCAGGCCGACGCTCTATCCACTGAGCCAAACCGGTTTTGGCGAGATTCAAAATTGTTAAGTAAGGTGCCTAAAAACTAACACAACTAGTAACTGACCAAACTAGGATTGAATGGGATAATTCATGTGAAATGCTAGCATATCCATTGTTAATAATAGTATACCAATGTCAGTTTTCTTCTCTAAATTCCAGACATTCTGACTCTTGGTCCAACATTGAGCCAAGACACCATTGCTCCAAGCTCCAATGACTCTGTATGTTCAAAATATATCTATAATAATAAAAGCGTAATATGCTAATTAGACTGGACATCCTTCCAGACGACCTTCCGGACGAGGCCGGGGCTGCGAGGGAAGCCTGGGTCCCAGGTGCCTGCTGGCGGCTGGAGGGAAGCCCAGGTCCCGGGTGCAAGAGGAAAGCTGGTGCCGGCAGCCGGGAGAATGAAGGCCTACTCTTGCACGAATATCGTGCATCAGGTCTCTAGTATATATATAAAACTCTGGTGCATTTTAGTAGTTTACATAATTTAAGCACTATGTATACCTATAATCTTATTCGATAGTTGAGAATGCTAAGAAGATAACCATAAGTTTGTAAACAAAGACTACAGCTTTCTACTTACAAAGAAAAAAGCTAATATAAAATTTCTAAAAGATTGATGATACTATCCAGGAAAACCTTTGAACAAGACCTGACCAGTGACACTGGGGCTTTGAAATGAGAACAGCTCATTTAGTAGGCTTCCATCTACTTATTACTTCTTAAAAGCAGCATTATAGAGGTCTAAAAATAGCCAATGGAAAATCTTCCCACATCAGTGATTCTCAGACTTAGGACCAAGAATGAGGTGAAAATATATGATCCTTGAAAAAATGAAATAAAAATACTAAATGTATATTTAATGGGTACTTCAAATTTTATTTCTGCTTTATGAAAATCTGGGAAAGTATATTTAAAGTAAATATTTAAAGCATCAATATAAAGTGGCACCAAGAAACTCCCTTGGATTGAAAGGTCTCAAGGGTAAAGGAAATGTGAACTTCTCTAGGCAGCATCCACTTCGTTCCTCAAATAGGGCAGCACTGAAAACAAGCACTTGCTGATGATGTCAACTGGATAATGTTGTCTCTGGAATGGAAGCTCTTATCTAACAGCAGCAGGAAGATTGTGGGTAAGCAGAAATGTCCTAAGAAACTCTTACAGAGACCATGAATAAGTATTAGGTTCTAAGGGGGACTTGAAATAAAATGGAGAATTGGGCTCTTCAGAGTAAACCTGGTTATGATTCTGCGAAAGAGGCAAGCAAGTCAAGGTAAACAGCCCAAGAAACTGGAGATTTGTTCAGTTCTACATCTGAATGCCTGTTATATAACCTGAAAATGGCTTGACTCTCAGCAGTAAATGCGTAAAATAAATTCGACCCCTGTTTGTAATAGTCTAATATGAATTTTTTAAAATAAGGGAATCAGATTAGCGAAAATAAGTCAACAATAGTAATGGACGGGGTTTGTGTCTGTGCGTGATTAGCTTTAAAATGGCCATGTTGTGTCTGAATTCAGCCGCCTTGAAACATGTAGGCACTGACCTAATTTCTGCCTCGCCAAGAGGAAGGCACTTCACACACAGAGCACGTCAGCCAGTGCTACCGGTGCTGTTCCCTCAGCAGATAACTTGGCCTCAGAAGCCAATCTTCTTCATTTCTCCTCTGTCAGCAAAAAAAAAAAAAATGGACAACAGAAAAGTAGAGAATCTTTTTTCTATTACCTTTAAGTTGCATATTGAAGAATACTTTTAAAATAGCTTTCTTGGCAGGTATAAAAGAGAAGGAGAGAATGGTTCAATGAAAACTTCATCTAGGAGAAATTTGACAACTTAATGGAGTGTGTCTATATTTTTAAATTCTCTAGACCACACTGTAAATAATCTCCTTTCCTTCTGCCTAACTCTTCACCCTGGCCAAGTTTCTGAGAACTGAGACAACTTGATATGCGATAAGAAGCCAGAAACTTGTGTCAGGGCATCTAAAAATATTTTTTTCGGGTAAGTGTAATATGTGTTCTAAAAATATAGTTCAATAGGCAAACATGGAGGAAGGCAATGTCTCCTGAGCATGTGCTCTTGGCTATCAACCTGGCTGCCCTCCGGTTTTGCCATAAGAGCAGCGTCCTACAGCCACAAAGATGGCCTTCCTAAAGTGGGTCTCAGAGTACTGAGGCTGAAATTCTAGCTTTTCTGTCATTATGCTTACCCTAGACACAACCTATATTCCTGCTCTGGGCTAAGTAAAAGGTAAATTGTCCCCAGGCTTACTAATACACGGCTAAAGCAAAGACCTAAAAGCTACCCTGTGGTAGTCTGAATGGCCTCCCTGGAACCCATGAATGCTACCTTATATGGGAGGAGGGTGTTACTTTGCAGATATGATTTGATTAAATATCTTGAGATGATAGTGTAGACCAGTGATGGCGAACCTTTTGAGCTCGTCGTGTCAGCATTTTGAAAAACCCTAACTTAAGTCTGGTGCCATGTCACATATAGAAATTTTTTGATATTTGCAACCATAGTAAAACAAAGACTTATATTTTTGATATTTATATATTTAAATGCCATTTAACAAAGAAAAATCAACCAAAAAAATGAGTTCACGTGTCACCTCTGACACGCGTGTCATAGGTTCGCCATCACTGGTATAGACCCTAACTGCAATCACACTGATCCTTCTAAGAAAGAATAGGGTGAGAATAGGAAGATTTCACACAGACAGTAGAGACAACGAATGTTGCCACAAACAGTCATTGGAATAATGCAGATACAAGTCAAGCAATGCCCCAGCCACCATAAGCTGGAAGACACGAGGAATGGATTCTCCCCAAATGCTCTAGAAGGAGTGAGGCCCTGCTTACCCCTGATTTTGGCACAGTGATTCTGATTTTGGACATCTGGACTCCAGAACTCTGGAAGAATATAGTTCTGTTGTTTGAGCCACCAACTTTGTAGTAATTTGTTACAATAGCAATAGGAAACTGATACAGCTTTTTATTTATTAATGCCAACCTGTCTTTGTAGAGCTGGCCCATCAGTACATTATTAGCATTTACATCCATGTAAAGCAATATACATCCATGTAACTGGTCTCAATTTTCTACCGTGTGAGAGAGTTAAGTAACGTGAGTTACATGACCCACGTGTGCTTTTCTATGGATTTCTTTGTACATTTTATGTACAGAGCCTCATAAAATGTGAGAGCTTCTGGATTATTTTATTCTGTATTTTTTCAGCTTTTAAATAAGTAAATAAATGCCAAAACGAGGCTGAAAAAAATCAGACCATAGTTTTTAAAGTGGACAACAAATGCATCTGGGCTGCCTGTCAATACTTTAGCCAATGAAGCAGAGGCAGGGTTAAAATGTATATGAGTGTTTTATTTTCCAGCTTTGCCAGCAGGTCATCCAAAAAAGTCTTCTTTACTCTACCCTCCCCCCACCCCGCATAAGCCAGCTGGTTATATTGGGTAGAAGGACAAAGATCACATGGGGAAGTAGGCAAAAGGAATAAGAATGGGTATAATGGTTACAAGTTACAGGTAAGGCAGGCTGGGGGTTGCAAAGAGTAGGTGCCTCAGGGACTCCATAGTTTCAGCAACTCCATAGTGATAGTCAATTCTCAGATGCAGAGAATGGAACACATTTCAAGGTTAACTCCCAGGTCCCAGGGCAGACAACTCCCAGCCAGGTAAGAATGTCCTCCCTTTCTTTCTTTCTTTCTTTCTTTCTTTCTTTCTTTCTTTATTTCTTTCTTTATTTCTTTCTTTCTTTCTTTCTTTCTTTCTTCCTTTCTTTCTTTCTTTCTTCCTTTCTTCCTTTCTTTCTTTCTTTCTTTCTTTCTTTCTTTCTTTCTTTCTTTTTCTTTCTTCCTTCCTTTCTTCCTTTCTTCCTTTCTTCCTTTCTCCCTCCCTCTCTCTCTCTTCCTCTCTTTCTTTTAAAATATGTTTTTATTGATCTTTTTTTAAGAGAGATAGAGGAAAGGGAGGGGGATAGAGAGATAGAAACATCAATGAGAGAGAAACATCATCGATCGATTGGCTGCCTCCTGCATGCCCCCAACTAGGGATCAAGTCCTGCAACCCAGGCATGTGCTCTGACCTGGAGTTGACTGTGACCTCCTGGTTCCCGGGTTGACACTCAACCACTGGCCAGGCAGCATGTGCTTTCTTTAATCAGAACAAAACAATCACCATTAACAGAGCATGATTAATATATCTTCTAACTCTAGCTAGTTCCCACAATTCTATTTCTCCTTCCTGCCCCTAACAGTTTAAATGTTATAATTAGCTGGCTAATGGTCAGCAGAAGGAATACTGTCCATATAGCTTCCTTTAGAGATAAGAGCAAATGTTTAAATATGAGGACTGCGGTAGACAGAATGCTGCAACCCCCAGACCCTCTTTAAGCAGAACTTGTTTCTGGAAGCTGCTGGAACCAGCAAGTGGTGTCCAGCTGCCAACTCCTTCAGAATTTGCCTCTACTGCAAAGAGCTACCTCATTCAAGGTCATTCCTTTCCTGGGCAAGTCCTTACCTTGTTCTTGTGTTAAGCAGGGGTAAGTAAGGCTTGACTGGATCATTGGGAAATAACTGATGGGCTGTGTATCTGTGTATGCTCCAACAGTCCCTCAGATGGTGATTGAGGTTTTGATAGGCCTGCATCACAGTTCTATTTCTCCCTCAGCCCAATCCTGCTTCTGTGCTCTTCTTTTCACAAGCATCCATAAGAATAATCTGCATGTCATGCTCTGTCTGCTTCTGAAAAGCCCACCCTGTGACAGGACCCTTCATGAATGTGAGGCCCAGATAATCAACATCCTTGAGTTCCACAATTTTCTGAAATCATTCTTTCTCCTTGTGATTTCTGCACTGGGATTGTACATTTCTGTCCAGTTCAAATCAAGAATGATTCCCTAGAGCCAGGAGCCTCTGCCATCTGTTCTACATATTCAGGGCTTATCTGAACCACTGTTCAGGAGCAAGGATGTCAAAATTTTCCCCACACCCTACTTTCTTTCGTGTTTCTCTAACTGAGTGATTAATTAAAGTTTCTAACTTGAACACCAACAATGCACTTGGCACTGATCTATTGTTCCAGGGAAACAGTGGTATATGCTGTAATAACACAGCCCAAATTGTAGCATGTGATGTACTTCAGGTCAACATTTACATACACCTTCTGGGAAAGGTAAAATGAGTTGATTAGGCTTGATGTAAAGCAAATAAGGAGTGGTGGGATCTGTGGCATCTTATAGAGAGCATACCAATCCAAGGAGATTAGCCCACTACCTTAACCTGGTGATCAAACTATGTGTTACCAATTAGGGCAACAGATATTATGTGCCTCCACATGTGCTGTAACATAAAGTCTGCCTCATAACCTCTGAATTATTTTTGCCCCAAATATTTAATCAAGCCTTTAGACCAATGTGAGAGGATGGCAGCATAGGTAAACATGGTACTTGTCACCTCTCAAAACCACATCAAAATTTACAACTAAAATACAGAACAATCATCATTCAGAACCACTTACAATCTAGAACAGAAGTCCTACAGCAGCCCGACCTGGTTCATAGTTTAGCCTCACCTGGGCACCTCTAAGCTCATAAGTAGCAGCCATCGAAGATTGCTTTGTAGCTCATGCTGGGTGGCCCCGGGGCAGGGCACAGGCAGAGGCAAACTTTGTACCTCCCAGGAGGCCCCAGAACTAGTGTACTCGGTGTTCAACTTCAGCCATGCCAGATTACAACCCTACCACCTCCACAAGTGACACACTCTAGGGATAAACCTGGTGAGCACCAAAGCCCTACTGAAGCAAGTCCTGCTCCATAGGGTCAGCTCCTGCACAGAGGCTCTTCCATTGTAGTTGCAGCCAATGCTCACAACCAATTCCTCCCAGTGATGCCAACATCCATCAAGGCTCAGCTACAATAGGCAGTGCACACAGCTCACTCAGGGGCACACCTGGAGTGTCCAAGCTCAGGTGACTGGGAGGCTGAGCCACTGGTCCCTATAGGACACCTACGATACAAGATGACTACCAAGTCTGGGAGACATAGCAGATCTACCTAATATACAGAAACAAACACAGGGAAGCAGCCAAAATGTGGAGACAAAGAAACATGTCAC